ATGTTTTATTTTTCCAACCTTATGTTTTATTGTTACCAAATTCTGTTTTAGCATGTCTAATTATTTGAAAGCATAAAAACAAGTTTCATTTATTCTTACAATAGCCTTGTGATTTTTTGCTCAGAAATTCTGTGTGCTGTGTTTTTTTTTAAGGCATAAAACATTCATTTAAACTATCTTTTAAGTAATGAAAATTAAACAAATTTTATTTTTTGGAAAATAAAGGTCATTTAATATTACAATTAAAACATTGAAGAAATATTGTATGATTATTCCTTAAAATAAGGTTTTAATAATTTTAGTAGTAGTAGTAGCAGCCTGTTACGTACATTCAACTCAACAATAGTAATATATTTCTGCATAGACCTGTTCTTTCGGAAAGGTAACTTTAAATGACTTCTGTTGTGATCTGGCGCTATAAAGAAAATATAATTAAATAAAATTAACTTGACCTTCAAGGGGGGCGGGGGGTGCCGTCCCCTCTAATATAATGGCAGGGGAAACACTGATATATATTGGGTTATATATGTTTTCTTTTTTTTTTCCACCAGGCTAATCGTCAAAGTTCTAATAAAAATTCCTTAAAAATGTCCACTCCATCAGACAAGGTCCTGAGGAAATTTGAAAACAAAATTAACCTGGGTAAGCTTTTTATTATTTAATCAAAAATTAAATTGAGAAAATGTGTGAAAAGCTGTATAGACTACAGATTTAGACTATTTATCCACAGAAAAAAAATAGTTTTGCTTTTTCTGATTCAAGTATCTTTGTTTCACAGATAAACTGAGCTATGCTGATTCTGTGATCAATAAAGTCACTGTGATGCAAAAGCAGAGGGAAGCAGACACGTATGTAATCTTGTTTTAGTATTATTTCTATACTATTATAGTATTGTTAGCAGTTTGAATTAGGTTTTATTTGTATATATTTATTTTCATTTTAGTTTTAGCTTTAGTCATTTTATTATGTGCTTTTGTCATTTTATTTGTGTTTTTGTGTATATTTGTATTTAGCTTTAATTTATTTTTAGTTTTAGTAATTACAAGAAAATTTAAAATGTGTGCCCTGGCAACTAACTAAAATAAAAATGGTTTGATTCTAATGTTTGTATTTTATGTCAGCTTTAATTTAACAAAAAGTATTGTTAATAGTTTTAGTTTTTAGTTACCAATAACAATGCAACAGACATGATTTTCATTCATTCATTAAGTCTTTAATCTTAAAGAGCTCATACATTTTTGCAGGTTTCGAGTAAAGGACAAATCAGACCGAGCTACTGTTGAACAGGTGTGTTTGTTTAAGCTTTATTTGTGATGATTTCACTAGAGCTCCAGCATTATTCAGTGGGATATTTGAATGTGACTGTACAGGTTTTGGACCCCCGTACACGTATGATTCTGTTTAAAATGCTCAGCAGAGGCGTCTTTTCAGAGATCAACGGCTGTATCAGCACAGGCAAAGAGGCAAGTTTGTTTTAATGTCATTGTAGTGTTATTGGTATGTTCATTAGTTTTAGTTCATTTATTATTTTAGTTATTTTAGTACTTGAGGTTAAAAATGAAAAATGTTGGGGGGGGGGTTTCCAGTCAATTTTTTTATTTTATTTCAAGTAGTGAAAAATGTTTTAGTTAACTATTATAACCCTGGTTTGTTTGGATGAAATCAGTAAAATTATCCCTTACTATATTTGTGGTACACTTGGGATCTTTTACTAAGAACTAATGTTAATGTTGCTTTTTTCATTTTTTTCTTTTGCTATTTAATTTTTTTCCTGCATTTTCCTGCACAAGGTTTTTAACCCATTTAATCCCAAATTTTTCCCAGATATGACATATATGAATTTGTGTGATATTTGTAAGGTTATTAAACAATCAATGTCAATTATTTAAAAAAATGATTGAAAAGTCAAAGTTTTTTGATCTTATTGTGCTGTGGTAACAGGACACCTGAAGATCATGTAGATCTACTCCTCCCATTTGCTGGTTGTAGGAGCGGATTATTTGAGGTTGCTGGAGGTAGTCATATGCCTTTCTTTCCTTGTTCCATCTCTTAACTGGTACCTCAGAGTAGACATTTTCCACATTGCTTGCAACAGTGACCACACTGTTGTCTCTCCACCTCACCAGTAGCTTTTCTCCTTCAGACAGAAATTCAGTGGAGCCCCTCGGTAACTTCTGGAATCCATTAATTGGTTTGAATGGCACATCAAACAACTGGTTTTGCCGCAGGGTCCCAGTGCACCCATATCCTCGCTTTGTCATCTCATCAATCAGGGATAATGTGGTGAAGAGGTTGTCATGCATGAAGTTGCATCCTCCTGGAACACCAGCTTTATCAGCCAAACCCAGCACTACGCTGAGCCCTTGACCTAGCCTGGTCTTTGGAAGAAGGGTATGCACTCCAGCATAAGGCTCCATGTGGTAGAGGTAACCCCCTGAGGATGCCAGGCTCCAAACCTTATAGCCATAGCGATTGGTTTTCCCTTTATGAACGGTTGTCATGCATGAAGTTGCATCCTCCTGGAACACCAGCTTTTTCAGCCAAACCCAGCACTATGCTGGGCCCTTGACCTAGCCCGGTCTTTGGAAGAAGGGTATGCACTCCAGCATAAGGCTCCATGTGGTAGAGGTAACCCCCTGAGGATGCCAGGCTCCAAACCTTATAGCCATAGCGGATTGGTTTTCCCTTTATGAACTGTTTGTACCTGTGGCGCCCATAGTAGGGAATCATGCTCTCATCAACTGACAGCCACTTACTAAATGGCAGAATTTTGTATGAGCTACTGAGCTCCTGAAAGATTGGCCTCACCTTAAAGAAGGGGTCATCGTTGCACTTTGTGTTGTCCACAACATGGATGGATGCCATAATTTCATCAAATCTGTTTCTTCTCATAGCATTGGAGATGCTGTTGTTGTGGACATCGTCATCTAGAGACCAGAGCAAATGCCGTCGTGGAACAGTACAATATCCAGAGGTGAGGAGCACACCATAGAATACCAGCAGTTCCTCCATGCTTAAATTAAGAGGTTTGTCTTTGTTCTGCACAAAGTAGAGATTTGACATTTCTATGGTAAGCTCTCTCAGAGTTGGTGGGTACATTGCTAAAAACACATCCAATGGATTTGCATTTGTTGCCTTTAGACATTGTGCTGCTGTTGGTTCATACACAATGTAGTCAGGCAAATGGCTTTTTGCTGGTTTTTTGGACTTTCTGAAATGCCTACTCTTGTTGTTCCTTTTAATCAGATGAGCAGAGATGCTTTCGGCACTGGTATGGTGGCAGTAGTAGCATATGAAGATAACAATAAAGAGGATGAAGCAGCTTCAAGCTTTTTTGTTAGACTTCTTGTTCGGATTGTGAAGTTTGGTTGGTCCTCGCAGGCAGGTTCAACCTCCTCAAAATGATCAGATCCAAACAGTTCTGCAGTAGAATTCAAGATTCTTGATGGTAGGTGAGCGGAGTCACCAGTAAAATCCATGTCAGATGCATTGCTATCACAGTCGCTTTCTATTGCATCCTTCTCTGTCTTTGGGACCACTGCTATATTGCAAATTGCAGGCCCTGGATCATCAGCATCAAGTAAATCCAAAACTTGACTTAAGGTCAGTCTGAAAGAGAGTTCATCAGAATAACACAGAATGACATATGGGGGACATAGACTCCCTGTGTTATACCACCGGTCACAATTGTGACCGTCTTCAATTATCAGCAGTTTGACAACAGAATAAACCATGTAATAATATAATTTCAATATGTATGTATAGATAACCCTTTCATGATGATGTATGCAAAAAATGTATAAGCTATTCAAAAATTAACTTGGAAAACTTACCTGTCATTTCTGAGCTTTGACACTATCCTTCCATTAAGATGGCAGTACCAGGAAATGAATGTGTATGGTCACATGGCCAAACTACCCAATAATGTTAGACCTGCCCTGAACTCATGTAGACATCTTAAATTTTCATTATATATGAACATGTGCTTCATAATACGAGTTGCTTTTTAATACTACAGAAAAATATGCGAGCAAAAATTGTGGTCACAATTGTGACCGGTGGGATTAAATGGGTTAAGCATCAGTTAATGTTTACTGATGTTTAATTGTACTGTGATCAGTGGAAAGTGTAGAAAAACATTAAGCACTGCTGTGTTCTGGTGTGCAGGTATCATAATGGAGAAGCTTATATTATTGACGTCTCTCAGTCCGTTGAGCACGATCATCCTCATGCTTTAGAGTTTCTTCGCAAGGATTGCAGCAATGTCAATGGTAATTATACAGCCTTTAATAGTAATAGATATTATTAATGTTAATGTCAACATCTCTGACTTTTTCCAGAAACATAATGTGGCAGTTATGACTGTGCGTGAGCTGTTTGAGTTTATCACAGACCCCTCAATCACAAGTGACAACATTAATCAGTATTTGGACAAGGTCAGTGAGTTGCATTGAAGCATTATCGTTTTTTTTTTTAAATTCATTTTGTTCTCTCAGACTTTTTCCAGAAACATAATGTGGCAGTTATGACTGTGCGTGAGCTGTTTGAGTTTATCACAGACCCCTCAATCACAAGTGACAACATTAATCAGTATTTGGACAAGGTCAGTGAGTTGCATTGAAGCATTATCGTTAATCCTAACTACAGGCTGTTTCTTTTTCTTGTGGCTTTTTGTGCATTCAGACAAGCTTGATGTGATTGGGTAGTAGAGCTAGGTAAAATATCGATTTCTCAATTTTAATCGATTCTTAAATCCAAGAACCTATTATTCTTCTTGCCTGTTTTCAGTTAATGAACGGAAAAGTGTAGCGCATTTCCCATCTAATAAATCGCAATAAGCTTTGTGCTTTGTTACTATTGATATGAAACAAAGTCTCAGATTTAAAATTCTGTCCATTTTATTACAATATTTAAACAATAAATGCTGTTTTGGCGCTGTTTAATGTGGAGTAACAGGTCGCTGTAGCGCCTCAGTTCAAGAGAAGCGGCAGCGCAAAAAGCACGTGAACTGATCGTCTACTTCACTTTAATACCAGTTTCAGCACAAAATAAACATGAATGAACATCAGAAGGTATGTAAAAAAAAAAAAAAAACTTACCGAAATCTGTATCCTGTCTCATGTAATTGCTCAATCAGGGTTTCAACTGCGAAAAGATGTCAGTGTAACAGCTTGTACACAATTTAACGTAACATCACATTTACCTTAGAAAAACCATAAACTCGCTAGTCAGCTAGAAAAATGAACTATAGAGGAGCATTTTGCTAAATATATGCACCGTATAACATATTCTTTCATTTTTTTCAAGTTTAATGTATGTTTGAATAAATCCGTCAGGTTTTTATGACAGCCAACATTTAAATGTTTATATTTCAAAAAACAATTTGGAGTTGAAATATAATTATGTAATTGTAACTTCATTATTATAAAAACTTCATTGAGTGTATTTTTTTGTATACAAAATCAAATCAGTTAATTTTAACCTTCAATATTATAGAAATGTAGTTGCCAGCTGACTTTACAGTATACGTTTTTTTTTTCTTGAGAAAATTGATTATGTACTATACCTGATATATATTCAAAACAATCAATACTGAATCAAATCAAATTGAATCGCAAGCTTGTGAATCAGAATCATATTGTGAAATTTGTGTCAAAACCCAGCCCTATTGGGTACATACTGTACATGTGTTTTTTAGCATTTGTTGTAGATTGACTAAATATGTTTGTGGTTTACCTGCAGGCGATGGAGATAGCATCTGAAAGAACTGCAGAGGAAAGATCCAATCAGGACAAAGTTGATGAGGAGGTGAACTCATTTTTAACATTTCTCAACATTTGCATCCCTGTCCAAGCTACCAGAGTTCACACAGTCATGGAAAATTGTAGAATTATTAAATAGTAATGTGCAGTCCTGAAAAAGTCATGGAAATTAGATGTAATGAAAATGTAAAATATCATTGAAACATTCTTTCTGTGGTAAATATGAGGGTTTTTTTCTTTTTGGTTTTCCCCGCTCTAAAATAGTCAAGATAATAGTAAAATATTGCTCTTTGTGAGCACTTGTATAGAGTAAAGGTCAGTGTTGTTATAGTTAACCTAATCTAAAACTATTAAAAATAATTTTCATTAATTGAAATAATGCTGAAATAAAATATGAATTGAACTTGACAAATTTAAACTAGACAAACAAAAATTAGAAACGTTGGCTACAATTTTATAAACTAACCAAAGCTTAAGCTAAACTACTAAAACTGAAATAAAATTAATGAATTAAATTTTTTTTTTAAATAATAAAAATGACAAACACCACAATTAATAAAACTAAAATGAAAGCAAAAAATATAAAAAATAAAGCTAATACAAAGTATTAATAATAAATACTATAACAGTATATAAATAATACTAAAATAAAACTGGTAAACACTTGCAAATTTTGTAATATCTCATATACACAAACACACACATATATATATACACACATACAGGTGCATCTCAATAAATTAGAATGTCGTGGAAAAGTTAATTTATTTCAGTAATTCAACTCAAATTGTGAAACTTGTGTATTAAATAAATTCAATGCACACAGACTGAAGTAGTTTAAGTCTTTGGTTCTTTTAATTGTGATGACTACTACAGTCTGTGTGCATTGCATTTATTTAATACACGAGTTTCACAATTTGAGTTGAATTACTGAAATAAATGAACTTTTCCACGACATTCTAATTTATTGAGATGCACCTGTATACACCAGTCTGTCCATTGATGGTCGTTGTGAAGACATTTGTACACAAAATATAATTTTTAACACTTCAAGGAATCATACAAATGGAAATAGAAATTCTTAGCTATCTCTATAAAATGATTTTGTTAAAAAACCCATGTAGTACAGCAATCATGAAACCAGAAAGGTCAGTGTTGTGGGAACCTTTTCTAATGATTCACAGGTGGATCTGTCTCAAAACAGGTGTTTAAGAAAGCCTACATTCCACGCACACTTACTGAAGTCACCCATTATGAGAGGGATGTGGACGCAATGTTGAAGAAAAAGGAGGAGGCTTCTTCTGAAGATACAAACACAGACAATGTGCGTCTCACCACCCTAAATGAAAAAGAATGAACTAATGCTCTGAGAACTAGTAGCAGTGGATGAAATGATCTGTTTTCCATTACAGATCCTCTACCAGACAGTGACAGGCCTCAGGAAGGATCTTTCTGCTGTGCAAACTGTGAGGAGAATGCGTTTTTGTTTTTAAGAAGACCATGTGGCGCATTAATGATTAATGCTATTAATGCACCCACTAGGTCTCTTTGGAATTTTCTTTGCCTACATGGCATGTGGGAGGATTAAGACAGAGAATATAAACAACAGCCATTGCCAAACGTAATGACAATGAGAAATCAGATTAAAAATGCTGTTGCTGAATTTTTTATTTAACAGGTACCCTCGATACTGGAAGACTCCACAAAGGATGATAGTTCAAGCTCTGAGGGAGAGGAGGAGGATGAAGACGATGATGAGAAGTCAGAAGGGGAAGACACAGGAGAGGGTGGCAGCCACACTGAGGAAGCACAACTGGACAGAAAAGTACCTAATGGGAACAGAAAATGTTGCAACAGATGAATTGCGTTCATGGGTTGTGAGAATACGTTTGTATTTCTGTGTCTTTCAGGAAAGAAAGAAAATGGTTAAAGAAGCTCAGAGGGAGAAAAGAAAAAATAATGTGCCAAAGTATGTGAAAAAGCGCAAGGAGAAAGTTGCCAAAATGAAGAAAGGAAGATGAATATGGTTGAGATGAAGGTGAACTGAGATTATAGCAGAAATGCTACTTGACTGATGGTACCAGTATTTAAGCTGGGAACTATTGCTGATGAAATCAGTCCCGTAACAATTATAAACACCTGATATTAGCATCATATTTTTTAAATGTTTATTAAAAGTATTCTTTTTAATAAACGTATACTTTCTTTGATATACTGCTTGAATGGTGGGTAAAATATGTTTTAATGCAGACTGACAATTCAAATCAATTTTTGTTATAGTGAAACATTTAATTTATATTGTGCAGAACAGTTTACACAAATATTCATGTTTTACAAGGCAACATGCTGTTAAAAATAATGCACTCTTTCATATTTAAGTGACAAAATCCTCTTTACAATCCTCTATACATCTTGTACATTTAACATTTATTTTAAAGTAAATGTCATATTGGTACAAAACTGTTTATTACATGACATACACTACCTTTCAAAAGTTTGGGTCGTAAGAGTTTTATTTTTATTATTTTTTGGAAGAAGATAAAAAAAAAATACAGTAAAATTGTAATATTGTGAAATAATTTAAACCGTTTAATATAACTGTTTTCTATTTTAATATTTTTAAATGTAACTTATTCCTGTGATGCAAAGCTCAGTGTCTTCAGTGTCACATGATCCGTCAGAAATCATTCTAATATGCTGATATTGGTACAAAACTGTTTATTACATGACATACACTACCTTTCAAAAGTTTGGGTCGTAAGAGTTTTATTTTTATTATTTTTTGGAAGAAGATAAAAAAAAAATACAGTAAAATTGTAATATTGTGAAATAATTTAAATCGTTTAATATAACTGTTTTCTATTTTAATATTTTTAAATGTAACTTATTCCTGTGATGCAAAGCTCAGTGTCTTCAGTGTCACATGATCTGTCAGAAATCATTCTAATATGCTGAATTATTGTTTTATTTTGTAGAAACTGATTTTTAGGATTTTTTGTTGAATAGAAATTTGAAAAGATCAAATTTATTTTAAATAGAAATGTTTTACAGCAATGTAAATGTATTTACTGTCACTTTTTATCAAATTAATTAATCCTTGCTGAATAAAAGTAGTCATTAAAAAAAAAAAAGAATGAATAAATAAATAAAAAAATCTTGCATGGGCCAAACTTTTGAACAGTCGTGTACATTCACTTAGACTGGACGTTCAGAGTAACAAAATAAGAAATGTAACATTATAAACACTTACAAAGTGGGACAATTTGCACTATTAAAAAAGAGCTGTTCCTGTGACCATTCAGATATAGTGTTTGATTTGAGGCTCAGAGAGACAACTAGCGAATGCCCTCTACATAGTTAGCAGGCAGCATACCCGACCTCGCCGTTCTCTGTACCGTTCCATACATCCAGCCTTCATCGATTGGCTGCACGTTCTGAATGATGTCACCGTCCCGGAACGACACCTCATCGTAATCCTGCGCCGTGTAGTCATACAGGGCCCTGTACACAGTCTGATGACCAAGTTTTTGTGCAATACAAGTAAGTATTTTATGGTACTGAATACATTTTAATCAAACAGAGTGTATATGCTACATAATATTGTAGAAAATCAGGACTCACCATGCTCATGTGTTGTGACCTCCGCTGCATTGACCTCAGTGAATGCATGCTTGTCTGATGCATGTAGCTGTGCCCATGGCTGTGGCCACTGGGATAGTATGCACCAGGGAGAACAGGTGCTAAAACAACAATTATCAGGATGATCTTGACCTTCAATAGTACTATTTTGCTTGTAAGTTTGATATTTTGATTTAGGTGATATACTGATTTCGCTTTTTGTAGGGTTTACTACCAGGTGTGAGCATCTCACATTAGAGAACTTACCCACAATGACGCCAGGTCTTCGATCCATTTCCATGATGTACTGATGAACCCCCTTGTGTGTGCTGTTCCCCACCGTCTCATGGTTAGGTGTCATCTGAGCCTGTACCAGGTACGTCCCGCGAGTTCCCTGGGTGACCCCATGCAAACCTGACACCTCAAAATCCTTATGATACTTTGCCTGCAAGAATGGAGATGTCAGCTTTTTCATCCACATGTAAGTATGATGTATACAGTGTTCAAATTGTGTCAAAGATCTTGGGGGGGTCCCCCTAACCAGACCCCCCTCCACTCCCCCTTCAAAATAAATAAATAAATAAAACCTTGTATAAATATGATTCATATTTTTTGTCTTGTTATCGTTGAGAAAACTTAATTCTAAGATAAAAGCTTGTTTTACGATGATCAGTGAATTATGTGCACCAAACAATCACTAAGCAAAGAATAATTAAATATCTATCCTTGGGGTGTGCAATATAGACAAAAAAAAAATCTCGATATTTTCTGGGATTTTATCGATAAGGATAATCAGACGACATTTTACTGAGTGTGTTGCGCTGCAGGACTGCAGTGGACAGCTGACTCCTAAAGTTTTTGATATTCTTCATATTCTGCGTGGTCAGTTCACAGCAGTGATAGAAATTAATAACTTCCAACAAGTTTAAAGTGATGTTTACTCTTTATGGGCATTTTTACCTTTATAAAGCCTTTTTTTTTCTAGAAAATCATTATCATTAAAATCATTATCAACAAAATTCATCTTTGCAATGCTGAGGAAACACAGAAGCTGCATCTGAAGTGGCATTCAGATGTACTTACACATTGTTTAATGCAAGACATGAATGCATTTAACCTGCGGTTACAAATGCATAAATGTTTTGATATTTTAATCCTAAAACATTGAATACTGATATTTAAAAATATATACTTTAAATGTGAAATTAAAACCGCCAATAGGTGGCACTGGCAGCAAGTCACTGTTACTGTTATTAAATTACTAAATCACTATTATTATTTTTTTGTTGGCGAAATAGAGCAAAACTAGTTGCAGTTGGCTGGATGTGTGCAAAAAATGGTGTCTAAAACGTAGTCTATTAATATTAACTTCTTGTTTATTTAAGTGTTGTATAAAATCACTATCACATTTGTGATTTTTGCGAGAGAGAAAAATGTCACTCTTCGTGTGATATTGATTAACTATATGAAATGATAGAAATATACACATTTTCTGCCCCCATCTTGAATTTTGGGAGCATTCTGCATTTTAAGACTGAATCATGCAGTGAAAGAACGCACTCTTAATGAGCACAATCAGTCTAGCTAGTGTTTAAGCACTCATAACTCCTCTTATAATCTGTATGATAAATTAATCTCTTACTTTTATCGTCTGCACATTTGTTGCTTATGATGAGGGAATTCACAAGTTTCAGTCTGAACAAAATTCAGCGATGACTAATCTGTCAGTTATATAAAAAATTGTCTTTGATCTTTCAAGATGTTTAATGGCAGTCAGCAGGCGTTGCAGTGCATCAGTCCAAAAGAAGTGAAATAAAAAGCGCCCATCCACAATAAAAAGTGTCTCACACGGCTCCGGGGGGTGAACAAAGGCCTCCTGAAAAATAACCATATTTAAAACGTAATAATCAATTTAATCTAGCTTGCACTCACTGTTGTAAACGGAAGCAGCTCCGGGTGGATGACGTCGGCGTTGTGCATGCGCCGCTCAGAAGTGACGAACTCGGAAGCGCAGGGGAGAGATCAAAACAAAACAACGGTCACGAATTAGAAGTACATAACGAGGATTTGTAAATAAGGATGTCGGAGGATTTCGATATAAGCCAAGAGAAGACTGGTTTTCCTTTGCTAAAGTAAGGAAACTGTGCTTCCCTTGCTCCTGTAAACAAACGTTGGTTTTCACGAGACACACCGGCGCGAAGGCATTTGTTCACCCCCCGGAGCCGTGTAAGACACTTTTTATTATGGATGGATGCTTTTTATTTCACTTCTTTTGGACTGAAGCACTGCAACACCCGCTGACTGCCATTAAACAGCTTGAAAGATCAAAGACAATTTTTAATATAACTCCGACTGAATTCGTCTGAAAGAAGAAAGTCATATACACCTAGGATGCCTTAAGGGTGAGTAATTTATGGGCTAATTTTCATTTTTGGGTGAACTAACCCTTTAATGCTTATGGATGTGTACACTACCATTAAGAAGTTTGGGGTCAGTAAGAATAATACTTTTATTCAGCAAGGATGCATTGAATTGAGTCTTAAAATGCTGTTCTTTTGAACTTTTATTCATCAAATAATGCAAAAAATGTATCATAGTTTCCACAAAATCTGGTTTAAACATTGATAATAATAAGAAAAATATCTTGAGCAGCAAATCAGCATATTAGAATGATTTCTGAAGGATCATGTGACACTGAAGACTGGAGTAATGATGCTGAAAATCCAGCTTTGCCATCACAGGAATATATTACATATTTATTTAGAATAGAAAACATTTTAAACTGTAATAATATTTCACAATATTACTCCTTTTTCCCCACTGTATTTTTGATCAAATAAATTCAGGATAGGTCAGCATAAGAGACTTCTTTCAAAAACATCTTACTGACCCCAAACTTTTGGACAGTATGTATGTTTGAGAAATAAATGCTTGAATATCTAGTACACTAATTTATCAAATTTACATATTTGCTTTTTTACATTTGGCTACATGAGTTTTTCTGCATTTTCCAGCATACATTACTGATCTGATCCTGGGCCTTCCTCAGTCTCTGTAGCTCTGGAGTATCCAAGACAAATTTGAGGCCCCGACCCTTACTCTGTTCAAAATCCTTCCTGTATTTGACCTGTAGAACAAGAAAACCAGGAAGTTGGTATGGTGTTCTGAGTGGTTTTAAGTGCGTTCCTGTTTGGTTGCGAGGGAGTTCTGTATGGTTGTTTCTAGTCCAGATTTGAGCTTATCTTTTTTTTTTCTTCAAATCCCTAACACAAAGTATGACCAATATTAAATGCAGCAGACTAATTTTGTGTTATGCAAGTACATAAAATATATATTTCGCTGACCTATCTTTCAGAAAAAAAATACATTTTCTGTCATAATGCCAGGATTAGGCCGCAGTATAGACTTGGCAGCATCTTTGGGCTGCCAGGTGGAGAAGCTGAGGGGATCGGCCAGGGCACCACGGAGTAGACAGCTGCCTTGCTTTTCTCCATGCTGACCTCAAAGTATCACACCCAGTCCCTCCCTGGCAGCCGAAACACTCACGTGGCTGTAAGTGATTGTCTCATCCCTTTGAATTGTCTCTACCAAAAGCAACATTTACATTTAGTCATTTTGCAGATGCTTTTATCCACAGCAACTTACAATTAACAAATAACATTATCCTACCCTAGATATGCCCCCTTTAGATTTAGAGCAGTATTTTCAAAATATATTTTTATCATGTGTAATAATGTGATTAAAGTGTACTACACATTACATAGTGAACAAGTGATCTTACCTGACTTTGGAGCTCGCTTTGCTGTCTCAGTCGTAGGTTCTCTGGGGTGTCTGTCACAATTGTAAAGGTCTGTTTTGGATAGTGCCTTTTTGGAGA